CTGGCCCTCACCAGCCCCTCTTCACTTTTTTCCCCAGTTGAGCAGAGTCGATAACCCGCTGCCCGCCTGACAGAGCCACTCCCGCCTCCCGCCAGCCACTAGTTTCTTGGTCTCTTCCTCTCTCAGAGACGGATGACGACGACGGGCCAACTTTGTACTGTTTAAAAGCTGTAGATTTGTGTGAGAATAAATTTTATTATTACCAAAGTCTGACTCCCACCCACCTGCTGTCATGCGTCACTCATATCGCTGGGATCTCGAATGTTAAGTGTCCACAAGGAAAGGACAGACGGATAAAAAAAATTGCAAACACCCACAATCTCCAAAACAACTGGAGCCCTTTGCAGTCGGGCCTCTGTACCGTGAGCTTCAAGTGGCGGGGTCAGAGGCCTGAGCCCTACCCATCCTCGCCCCTGACATCAGTCTTAGCTTGCAAGGGAAGCTGGAGCCCAGCCCTTTGCCCACTCTGCTCTGTAGCAAAGCTAAATGAGGGGAAAGAGTCAGGTTGGGGACAGGAGCCTTGCCTGTCCGCAAGGGAGACCCAGGCCAGCTTACTTCCCCACCCTGAGCTGCAACTGTGACCGCCAGGGTAGAAGCAGAGGAGCAGCTGGAAGCAGGTCGACCCGTCCAGTGTCGTGGAGCTGGTAGACCATTGCCGTTGCCTCCCCTCCCCTTGGCACTCGGGAGTGCAGAGGGAGCAGGTGGTGGAGAGCAGGGGTCTCAGTGTGTGCAGAAGCTGCCGAGGTCACTGGGCTTTAGGCCTGTCCTGAACCCACCTTCACATGCTGGATTCTGACTGCCTGAGGGTCTGGAGAGGGGGAGGCAGGTAGTGAGGCCAGAGCTGGCAGCTGGGGTGCCCTTCTTCCCGCACCCTGGCAGTCACTGCCCCTACCTGGGTCTGCTGGTGGCTGCTGGCAGACGTGGATGTGAACTCTGAATACTTGCTCCTGGTGACCACAGAGAACCACTTCCAATACTCTTCTCTCACCTGTGGGTCCAGGTGCCACGTTAGGGGCCACAGGGTCCTGCTCCTGCCCACCCCTGCCTCCCCAGGGTCCCCCTGCCCGCCTTGGGCACCTTCTTGTTGAGCAGACAGTGCAGCAGGAAGAGGAAGAGGCCCTGCAGGCAGTTGAGAATGGTGAAGATGTAGGACAGGATGTAATTGTTCGGGTCGAAGAGGAACAGGCCAAAGACCCAGGTGCAGCCCAGCACCAAGAGCTGGGCCACTGCCGTGATGGTCAGGACCCTAGGGAGAGCAGAGGCGGGCCAGCTCAGCAGGGCCAGCCTGGGCCCCTGGGCCCCTGGCCCCCTGACCCCAGCTTCCCGTTCTCCAGCCCTCCCCTCACCTCGCCTGCTTTAATTTCTTCATGTCCGGGTTGATTTCAGAGAACTTCTGAGTGAGCTTCCAGACCGTAATCACAAAGATGACCGAGTTGCACTGAGAGGGGTCAGAGTAGGTGGTTTGGATTAGGAGGTGCCCCAGAATTCAGAGGCTAGGGTGGTCTAGCAGCGGGGTGGGGGGTGTTGTAGGGGCTGGAGGGCAGTTACCAGAATGATGACACACACAGGTCCCAGGAAGCTCCAGAGGAAGCCCTTTTCCGGGTTCAGCCAGCAGCTGCAGGAGAGCGCAGGGGTCTGGGTCAGCACCTCAGGAGCCCCAGGCCATGTGATCAGGGCAAGGTCCCCTGGCCCCGGTCTGCCACACTCACTAGCTGGTGCGGCCATAGCCCTCGCTGTTCACAGCCGCTGAGATGCCAACGATGATACCGGGGACCCCGTAGCCCAAGAGGCAGAGCCAGCGAGTTCCCAGCCCTTGAGCCTGGAACACGCGCACCACGAGGAAGTAGAGCTCCAGGCCCTCCAGGCCCATCCAGCAGAAAGCCGCCAGGAAGAAGTAGTGCAGCAGGCCGGCCACCAGGCGGCAGCCCAGCCCCACCTGCGGGGCGGAGCGGGGTGGTGCGTCAGCGCGGGCGGGGTCATCAGGGGGCGGGGAGATGGGCGTGGCCTGGCCGCGCGTGGGTGGGGCTACGACCCGGAGGCGCGGAGACAGCCCCGGACAGCTCTTGTTGGGTGGGTGGAGCCCTGGGCTGCTACTCCCTTGCCCGGAAGTGGTTGGGCGGGGCCTGATCCCCGGCCGGGGCGGGGGGCCATGGAGGTGTTCGTGGACGACGAGACCAAGCT